AACCTGGGCTGTGTGAGAACCTGTCTCACAAAGAAAAAGCAAAACAAAACAAAAAAACCAAACAATAACAAAAAAATCTCTGTCATTTTGGAATTGTTCTCAATCTGAATAGATGTCCCTATTACTTAACATTTTTTAGTAAACAAATATGCTTTAAAGAATCTGGAAGTAAAAAGTGGGAGAAAGGGGCTTGGGGCGCATAGCTATTACTTCTTAGCATTTGTGAAGCCCTGGGTTCTACTTCTAGGCTTTCTTTCACACACACATAAATGGAAAAAAAGAGAGAGAGAGAGAAACCACATACACACACACACAATATTGTATAATTGAAATTGAGACAAAACTGGTTAATTGTGTTTTACTTAGTGTTTCCCAGAGTTAAAATTTTTTTAAATTAAACTATTTTCAATTGTGGTAAAATATATGCAGCGTGAAATTTATCATTTTAACAACTTTTCATTATACAGTTGGGTGGCATTATGTATCCTCACATTAGTTTGCAGCCATCACCACCACCCATCTCAAGAATTTTTTTTTCTTCCTAAGACTGAAAACAGTACTGAACAGCTGCCCAGTCCTCCTTCCTCCAGCCCCTGGCAGCTACCAGTGTCCTTTCCGTCATGAAAGGATGTGTGCTGTAGGTGGCCCATATGAGTATATGTTCTTTGTGACTGGCACATTTCACTCAGTTATAATGCCCCTAACCTTCATTATCCATTAAAAAAATATTTACTTTATTTTATGTACATTGGTGTTTGCCTGCACGTATATCTGTGCAAGGGTGTCAGCTCTTGGAGCTACAGATGTGAGCTGCTGTGTGGGTGCTGGGAATTGAACCTGGGTTCTCTGGAGGAGCAGACAGTGCTCTTAACCACTGAGCCATCTCTCCAGCCTTGTCATCTGTTTTGAAGCGCCAGCATTTTCTGGGTTTTAAGGCTAATGCTGTAGCCGATATAGGTGTCACATCATCTGTTATCATATATATTTCTTCTTTTTCTTTTTTTTTAAAGTAATTGTGTGTGTGTGTGTACTTATCTGTGTGTGGTGTATGTACATGTAGGCCCATGTATGCAGAGGCTAGAAACATTAGGTGATCTTTACCTAATTCTCTTGTGATGTGGCTGAAGTTGACTCTAGGTTGGTGACCAACGATCCTCCTGTGTCTGTCCTTTATAGCACTAAAGTCACATGTATGTATGGCCATACCTGGCTTTTTATGTAGGTGCTAGGGATTTGAAATCAGGTCTTTATGGTTTCCAACTTCTTCCATATAATTTTATTACATAGCATTTCATTGCATGTATGTGTCAGGGCATATGCATGATTGGTTGGTTGTTTAGGTTATGTTTAGATTTTCAGTATATATTCCAGACAGTTCTGAGATAAACATTTATGCTCAGTTACTTCCTGGGGCAAGTTCTAGAGTGGGTTTCAGAGAGTGTTTATATTTTGGTAAACATTACCGGGTTTCCCTAGCAAGTACCTGTTTTCACTCCCTTCTATTGTAAATGAGAGTGTAATGTCTCAGGCCACCTGTCAATATTAGTTCTTAAATATCTTTTTGCTCTTTGTGTAATTGAACAGGAAAAATAACTTGATTTCATTTTTGTTCTGAATGTTTGTTTTAAAAATCAAATATCCCCTTCAAGTGATGCTTTGCTTCTCTTAAGAGATTTTAAAAAATACTGTTGTGGTACTGAAAAGCAGTGTTGGTGTAAGTTGGCAGTGTCTCAAGGTGACAGTTTTGAAGGGCACATTGGCAAGAAGCTCTCCTGTTTGTATGAAGGGGATGTGATCCCTTCTTTCTAAACACACGCCTACCAGCTTGAAGGGCTTCTGTCTTGACAGCAGCATTGCATGGTCATTGGACGGTGACGTGTATTGAGTGTCCTGCTTGGTCCTGCATCCTTGTTGCCAGTGGGATGCATTGCTAAGAACCTTGTCCTATGGAGCTGCAGGAACACCTCATGGGAGCCTAGAAATGACACCCCCAACAGCATGTTTCTTAGGGAAGTCTTGTGGAAGTTCCCTCAGAGGTGGTGTGTATTGATTCACACAGATTCATTAGTGCACAGAGTCATACTGTTTAACATAGAGACTGCCTGCTGATGTTGAGGCTTCTCTAACAAAGGATGAAGTTGGGGAGCTGGTGTGCCTCTTCAGAGGTACTTAACCCATTCCTCTGTGCTTCATAAGCTGTACTGGAGGAGATTCATTTTACTAGAAAAGGGTTTTGTTTTGTTCTGTTGAGGATACTTCAGTATACTTTTTTCTTTGCTCCTTGCACACTCACTAGACAGTTGGGTTTTGCAGGAGAGCTAGACCGTGTGGAGGTGCAAGCACAACCCCTTGTCAGTGGCTAGCTGCCTGACTTTAGAAGGAACAGTGCCTCAGGAGAGTTTGCAGTGGCCAGCAGTGACTACGGTAGATAGGCTTCTTTGCAAGTGGTCCCATGCTGGCTGCTCCCTCCATGATTATGGAAAAGGCTTTTCTTTACAAATGGAATTTAAGTGCTCACTTTAAATTTTATAATTATTTCATCGATACGTTAGCATTTTAACATTTAAGAAATCAGATATTTCAGAAAGTGTGACACTTATTGCATGGTATTAGAGGAATAAGAGATCTGTGTTCAACATAAAGTTTTGTTCAGGCATGTGGTACTTAGCTTTGCATTTCCTGTTAGCCTCTGTGAGAGAAGTGCTCCATGAACCAGATATAAAGGAAATAGAGTAAATATTAGTGTAATTATTTTGATTAGCAATGTGTTTCATTTAAATTTCTTTTTAGTATCAGTATTTTTAAGATCCATTAGATCAGCAGTTCTCAACCTGTGGGTCATGACTCCTTTGGCAAACCTCTATCTCCAAAAATACTTATATTACAATTCATAGCAGTAGCAAAACTACAGTTATGAAGTAGTAACAAAAATAACATTATGGTTGAGTGTCACCACAACATGAGGAATTGTATTAAAGGATCGCAGCATTAGGAAAGTTTAGGATCACTACACTAGATAATGTCAGCAGATTGATGTGTTACCAGGCCCAAAAAAAAAAAAAAATCAATTAGCTGTCATGATTTATGTCATTAGTTTTTTCCTTTCTAAGAAACAAGAGTCTTTTACCTTTTCTTCTTCTGTTTTCTTTTTCCCTGTCTTTCTACTGGGAATCAAACCCAGGGCCTTGTACATGTTAGGCAAGTATCCTACTATGTCCCCGGTCCCACTGGTAGGTACTTGTACTTGTGTGTGAGTGAGTATGTACAAATGTATGTATGTACATATGTGTGTACAAATGTGTGCGTATGTGTGTTCAGATGTGTGTGCCTATGTGTATGGGGCCAGGTGAGGACAAATACTGTCCTGCTGTATAACTCTCTGCCTAATTCCCTTGAAATAGTATCTTTCATTGTATCTGTTGCTAGGCTAACAGCTGGCAAGCCCCAGTAATCCTCTTGTCTCTGTCCACCATAGTTCTTCTGTGCTCAGATTTTTGTTTTTAAGATTTATTTGGTTTTTATGTGTTGCTGTTCCATGTCTGCTTCTCCCCCTTGGGATAGCCAGCTTGTTGTGCCCAGTAGGCAGGGCTGGAGGGAGGAAAGCTTAGCCTGTTCCCTGTCTGCTTCTCTCCCTCAGGATAGCCAGCCTGTTTTGCATCAGGCTAGGCTGGAAGGAGAGAAGCTTAGCCAGGAAGGAATGTGTGGGTGCAGTGCAGGGCCTTGGTTGGCAGTGGGTGCACCTGTAACGAACACATACACCAGGGAACAGCTTCAGAGAGCTGGTGAAATTTATTGGGGGTGGGGAGGTGGGAAGGGAGTCTTTATGTCTCTGGGGAGGTAGGCAGGGTCTCTGGGGCAAGGTTTGTGTGGCCATGTACAGTGGTCAGAACAGGGGTATTGAAAGATAATTCATCTGCATACTCAATATGGGGTGGGGGGAAACCTTCTAAGATCAAACAAGGAGTGAGGCCTGGCAACTGTCAGGGTAGTAAATTCTCACTGGGATTCTTAGTGGAGCCAGGTTGGGAGAAGGGAGGGAGCCAATGCCTGTTCTCATATGAGGTATCCAGGGTTGAAATTCTCTTTGACCCTTTTCCTGGGCCATTACTGTCCCACAATGTGTATGAGTGTTTTGCCTGCATATATGTATGTGCATCATGTGTGTAGTTGGTACCTATAGAGGTCAGAAAATATCAGATCCTCTTGAACTGTAGTCACAGATATTTGTGAACCACCGTGTGGGTGCTGTGAATCCAACCCAGGTCCTCTGGAAGAGCAGCCAGTGCTCTTAATCTCTGAGCCATCTCTCTAGCCCCCAACACCCATATTTTTGTGTGGGTGTTCTAGGGATTTAAAACTAGTTTAGGATCTATATTTTAGCCATAGTATGTATTGTTCTTTGTTGAGTATTTCCAGCAAGCTGAGAAAGTTCCATCTAGTTCCTAGAATAAATATCATGACATATAGTTTTAACAGTTCTTATAATTAGGTTTCTAAAATAAGAAATTAATCTTGTTACAATGCAATTTTGATTAATAAGTTTTACTTTAAAAACATATCTTAAACCAAAAGAAAGAAAAAATGTTTAATGATTTGGTGATAAACTTTTATAATCCATACAGCTTAGCAAGCTTCCTGCCCCTTTAAACTGATAGATATGTGACCGTAAACTGACAACACTTTGCAGACTTCCCTCCTGCCTCACAGCATCATGAACAGGTGCATGGAGGAGAAGAGGGAAGGAAAACCTCTGAGCCAATAGTATTTCCTTGCTTTGTGCTAGTCTCACTAAGTGTCACTGTGATTTGTTTGCAAGAGAGCCATAGACCCTAGTGCTTGTAAGGATTTCCTTTCCGTTTAGATGTAATCTGTTCAAGCTCCTGGGTACAGGGATAATGTTGGCTTTCAAGGTAGAATTTTACCACATTGAGCTTATTTGAAAAATGATTTACCATTTTCTGCCTGATTCTTAAATATTGCTGTGTGCATCATGTTTCTAGGTAGGAGAGCCCGTGAAACAGTATGAAGAGGAGAAAAATAGCCTTTTAAAGAGACTGGCCCACAGAAAGGATGGCCTTCTTGGACAATCCAACTATCATTCTAGCTCATATTCGACAGTCACACGTGACCAGTGATGACACGGGAATGTGTGAGATGGTTCTCATTGATCATGATGTTGACCTAGAGAAGACTCATCTTCCTTCAGTGCCTGGAGACAGTGGGTCAGAAGTGCAGGGAAGCAGTGGTGAGACGCAGGGCTACGTGTACGCCCAGTCTGTCGATATTACCTCCAGTTGGGACTTTGGTATTAGAAGACGCTCAAACACAGGTAAACTCTGTCTTCTAAGCTTCAGATCAGTAATCAGCCAAAAGATAATGAGCAGTGTTGGGACAGGTTCCTTGGGGAGTCTTTTTGTCTAGTTGAATAGTGGCTGAGCATCTCCTGGGTGAGTGGAAGAGCCTATGGTATGGGGCTGTTGGAGGAAGTAGACAGAGCTGTATGTAGGAGGGGGTTCCTTTTACAAAAGCAAGTGGGCCTGTTTGAGACCTTTGAGACACCCAGTCTCAAGTAAATCTGGAGGAAGAAGTCAAGGGTGACAAATAACTTTTTGTATATGAGTGCTCTATTTGCATGAATGCTGCATGACAGAAGAGAGCCTCAGATCCCATTTTAGATGGTTGTGAGCCACTATGTGGTTGCTGGGAATTGAACTCAGGACCTCTGGAAAAGTAGCCAGTACCCTTAACCACTTAGCCATCTCTCCAGTCTTCCAAAGAACTCTTAATATGGGAGCAGTCTAGCCAAGAGTGCAGACCATAAAGCCCCAGCTTTTGGAGGAGCAGTGGGATGTGGGTCAAGAGGGTGAGTTTTTATAGGAATTTGTACATGGGCAGAGGGAGGAACAGAAGTGCTTCTATTTTGATACTTTATCCTTATTTTCTTAAGATGATCACTAACCTTTAATCTCAGTGGTTTGCAAATGCTCTACTTTGGCGTATATATTTAGTTCTTCACTTTTAAAAGCTTATCATTGTCCATTTTCTAGCTGATAGTGCTTTTGTAATCTTTCAAGGAGAATGTAGTGTTTCAGTGCTTTCATTGAGAGAGACAGCGGAGGGTAGATAGTGGTGGGGTGTTTACACATACATGCATACATAAGAGACAGGGCATTTTAGGGGTCATTTTTTTTAGATCACCATAAAATAGAGTTAGTAGCAGTAACCTGTTTATCCCAAGGAAAGGGAGCAAGAGATGGACAACACTAAAAGTGTTTATTTTCATGGTCCACAGGTAAAATGTTAATATGAGAGTCCCCTGGCAGAGCTGGGTACACCACACTTCACAGTGAAAGATACGTTGAAGTTGGATTCAGGGTTCAGTCTGTGATATCAAAAAGAGTAGTTTGCCCTTATGATAAAATAATTAATATCACCTCCCAGTATCTAGAGGGACTTTTATCAAAATAGGATTTGAGTGAAGGTTTGTGTATAATTTAGAGCCATTGATACTCAGTGCTTGCAAGTCACTGTGCTGGTACCTTCTGTAACAGGCTGGGTGGATTTCACCAGGAAGATGCTGTCCAGTGAGAGCTTTATGACATATTTCTGTGGCTATGCTCTCCATAGTCACTCATTACAGTGGAATGTGGTTTTCCTCAGCCAGGTAGAGTAACAATGTTGGAATGCTTTTGCAAGCCATGGCTGGGTAATGATGGCCTACACCTTTGATCCCAGCCCTTGGGAGGCAGAAGCCAGCCTAGTCTAAAGAGTGAGTTCTAGGACAGTGAGGGCTACACAGAGAAACCTGTCTTGAAAAAAAAAAAAAAAAAATAGCAAGCAGAGAAAAAAAGAATGCTTTTGCCAGCAAAGTTTAAATTTCTGGCAAGATTATTTCCTCCGTTTTTCTGCCATAATGCTAAGGAAGGAATGTATGTTTTTTTCCACCTTGAAAGTGGTTATAAACAAAATTTATTTTAGCTATTTTTCTGTTGTCAGTATGTGTGTCTGAATAGGATGTTGATAATTAGCAACAGAAAACAAGCTTTGAGAGAGGTCGCAGTTCTGACTTTCCTCAGTTGTAGCCTTGAGTAGCAGTTGGTAATAGATACTGGTGATCTTTCTTTGAAGGACCAGGCCACTGGCTTTTGAAGGTTGATCAGGCAGTGGCAAAATAATCACAAATGTGTAGTTTTAGGGACTCTTGAAGCTGAAATCTTTTTAGTTAACAATAAGATGCTACAACAATGGGTTGTATTGGTGATCAAGGAATTTAGTTTTTAGTCTTTTCAGTACATCTTAAAAGTTTTTTTTTTAAAGAAAAAATGTTCTTTTTAAGATTTGACGAATGTTACAAAGATACAAATCATTTATTTTACTACCTATAAACTGTTTCAGCCCACTGAAGAAAAGCTATGCTAATTTATATAGCTTTGACATTTTATAATTTTCATGATTTTTAGATAAAGGATTTTATATTTAAAACTTTAATAGTCTAGTCTGAGTTCATTTATCTTTAATTTTTGAAACGGGTAGAGTAATTCATAACAGTAATTTTATTCCTGTAATGTAATATTCACTTCAGTTCATTTGTGCATTAAAATTCCTTTAAGACCGTTATTAATGATTTATATAATGAAATGTCATATTAATCACAGAAGTTTTCACATTTTATTATTCTCTTCCATGTTAATACTATCTTTATGATCTCTATTAATGTTTTATATCCTCTAATTTCAATTATAAATCAAGAATATTTTCATGTTTTTGTTGGTATTTGCTTTTCAGGGGTGCCACCTTTAAAATTTTATGACTTTCTTCCTCCATATGCAATATAAAACATCTTTATTCATACAAAGGTAGTTAATTATGTCATTGTTTGTAGTAAACTTTCATTGACAAACTTATAGTTATAATATTTCTTTTCAAGCTCAAAGATTAGAACGACTCCGCAAAGAGAGACAAAACCAGATCAAATGCAAAAATATTCAGTGGAAAGAAAGAAATTCTAAGCAATCAGGTAAATGGAAATAACTTTCATTTATGATTTGGGATTTGTATGTTTTAGTTTATATCATTTTACATGGACTGTTTTTAATCTATCCTTGTAAGTCCTTTGGGTGAAACCATTTTTGTGTTTTAGCTTTGTGTTCTGTCACTTGTGTACATTGGCCCTCTGGAACTGTGTGATCTTCAGATCTTTTGGGTTCCTTTTCACGCTGGTTCACAGGGGTTAGTTATTTTGGTAGAGGGCATTCTCTAAAACTGCTACTCTGGTACCATCTTCTTGGGACCAATGATAGTAGATACTTTTTCAAATACGTGTTTAAGTTATAGATTCATTTGTACAGTTCTATTCATTTCTTTACTTATTCTTTTATTTATTGTGTGTGCATACACAGGCATATACAAACAGTGCATGTGTAGAATCAGAGGCCAGCTTGCAGGAATCCATTTTCTCCTATCATATGTCAGGGGATTGAACATGTATTTTTTGGCATGGCAACCAGAACCTTTACCAGCTGAGCTATTCTACCAGCCCCATTTGTGTGGTCCTAACCTTGACTTTCCACTTGCTTCAGTGACCATCATAATTATCTTTTCTGTATATCTGTGTTGACTCTTTCAGCCCAAAATCTATTCTGTTGCTGGTATTGTTAGCATTGAAGTTTTGTGTTCACATATTGTATGAATATATGTAGGCTTTTATTTGCAACCATTCTGTTCATTGTACATTTACCCTCCCCTCCCCAAATTTTCTCCTCCCTTTTTCTGTCTCACACATTTCAGGAACTGACTTTGTGGTCATATTTCTCAAGCAGGTTTTTAATATCTCTCTATACTTGGAGATGTTGCCCTACAGTCCACCCTGCCCCGAGAATATTCTAAACAGTTATTGTGAACTTGCCTCATCAATGTACAGAATAATGCCTTTGAGGTTTTCAGCAGGTGGGGCTCTGTCATGAAACCACAGTTTAGTACTCTGGTATCCTTGGCTTGCTAGAAAAGCAGAGCCAGAAGTTTAGTAAGCCTCTGCCTGGCAAACTGAACAGCATCCTGCTCTATTTTAAAAATTATGTCTGTGTGTAGGTAGGTATATGCACACAAGTGAAGCTGCCTGGAGGCCAGAGCAGTGAATCTACCTGGAACAGGAGTTAGACCACCTGATTGAATCGCTGGGAATCTAATTCAGTTCTTCTCCAAGAGGAGCTTGTGCTTTTAAGTGCTAAGCCATCTCTCCAGCCCTTTGCTCTGTTTTCACACATCTTTCAAACACATGCTCTCTCCTGGCAAGAAAGGTTACATTTCAATCCTTTTGTTCATATTTGGGAACTTAGGGTCAGCACCACTTTTAAAATTTATTTATTTGTTTGTTTGTTTGTTTGTTTATTTATTTTTTAAGACAGGGTTTCTTTGTGGAGCCTTAGCTGTCCTAGAACTCACTCTATAGACCAGGCGGACCTTGAACTTAGAGATTCACTTGCCTCTGCCTTCTGAGTGCTGGGACTAAAAGCATCTGCCACCTGACAGATTCTCTACTTTTAACATGTCTTATTAAGGTTATTTATGGAGTTTATATTTCCATTGCAAATATCAAGTTCCTCATAACTTTCATATTTATATTTGTTAATGAATATTTTAATTTATAGAAAAGAGCCTTTTAATTTTTTTATAAATAACTTGCTTTTTTAAATAATAATTGAAGAAAGCTAATATTCTTTGTAATACATGTTAAATATAAACTTTAATGTCTAATACCTATTGTCACATTTTTTTGGTTATCTTAGATTTTGTATGATTTTACTTTCCTTCAAATTTGAATCTAAGGTTTATATATTACATTTATTAATATTTTATTTATGTGTGTGTGCATGTACACCATGGAAAATGTGTAGGTCATAGCACAACTTTTTGAAGTTGGTTCTCTTCTTCCACTTTTATTTGAGTTTGAGTCCAGGGTTGAACATAGGTTGTTACATACCTTTGCCCACTGAGCCATTTCATTAATCTTCACACATTACTTTCAGTTAAAGTGTCCCACTTTCTTTTTGATCTGTAGCTTCTCTTTAATTTTTTCTTATAACTGATTTGTTGAAGAATAATTGTATCCCAGTTGTCTTAATAAGTTCGTTGCCTGTTTTCTGTAAACTGTCAGTTAGAGCCAAAAAATTTGTTCATGTTTGGGCTTAACTTTTTCTAAAAGTGAGTTTTTTGTGATGCTTATGTTATGCTTATATTATGTAATATAATATCATATCAGGAAATTGCCTGATGTTTTTGTGATGCTAAGAGTCATGATGGAGTCAGGTGTTTGTCTGCCCTTTTGTCATTAAGCTGTTCCCAACATCTTTTTACAAATGGTGTGAGTGGCTGTTGATGGGCTGGGTGCAGTTTTTGTCTGAGGCTGTAGGTAGCGAATTCTGATTTTAGTCATTGTTTTTCATCCGTTAACTGGTTTTTAATGTATGAAGAACTTTCCAAAATGTATTATTCGATTATCTTCAGATACATTACTACAACAAAGACAGGGTACATGTTTTATTCTTAGTTAACAGATTTCACAGGTATGAGATTTTTCCTAACGTCCTATCTGCGTGACCAGTTTTTTCTTTTGTGTCATTATGCACACACGTTAGTTTTGTTTTGAGACAGGATCTTGCTATATAGTGCAGTCTAGCCTTTGTAATGAATCCCTTCATAATAGCTATGTTTTGTCTTACAGTACCGTTAATCCTTCTCAGCTATCGTTTCTTCCCCAATCTAGACTCAATGGCTTCTCCAGTGCATCTTGGTTGTTTTTAGTAGCAGTATTCAGTGATGACAGGCTGAGTGCTGGTGTTGTTCTCAGGGAAAGGGCTTTCCTTGTACTTTTGTTAGGATGAGCACAAATAAGTGTTAGTGCTTTAACTGAAATGTCAATTTATGACTGTAGACTATTTACTGCTGTGTTTGTTTTTGACAAGATCTCCCGTCTTGCTTATAGCCCAGGTTACTCACAAGTCCACCGTCCTCCCACCACAGGCATTGCTCCCTCACCACCTACACATTCGCTATGTAGCTTTTATGCTCAAGTGTCTTTTCTGCTTATGTTGAAATTTGTTCTGCGTAGAAATACCAGCAATGTGATCACAAGAAGACTTTAAAGCTTTTGGTGGTTTTTGTCTGTTGGACATACTGTGTTAGAAAATGTACAGCCAAATTATTGTGTGATAAAAATCATAATTTCTCTCTTTAAATTCCAACTCATTATTACATGTAGTTTGTTTTGTTTCACTTTTCTTTAGGTTGTAGAGATTACACTTTTAATTTGGTAGCTATATAAACATTTTGGAATATATTTTTGTAGGATCTGTTGATGGATGGAATAAAGGATGTAAGAGGGAAGAGTCAGGCAGCTTCCAAGCTTGAGGCATCAAGGGATTGAGTTGCCACTTGAGAAGGGGAAGGCTGGAGAGGGATTAACTAGGGAAAGGACTGAGAACTTGGTTGTAGTTATGTAAAATAAAAATACCTGGTGGACGCCAAGTGGCGGTGTCCGATGTCACGTTAGTATGTGTGGCTGTAATATTAGAGCCAGAAATAACTACTTTAGGAGTTACCAGCATACATGTTGGTTATTTAGTTAGGTCTACACCCACTTTTATTCGTGTGTGTGAGTGTGTATGCATGTGCATGTATGTCACAGTGCCCATGTGGAGGTCAGGGGGAAAGCTTATGGAGTTAGTTCTTTCCTTCCACCTTTATGTAGGTTCTGGGGGTCTAACTCAGATCTTTAGACTTGCATGGCAAACACCTTTTCCTCTGAGTCATCTTGCTCACCAGCCCTAGTTACTATTTTGCCCCCATGGCAGATTTTACATATAGTGAAGTTCACAGATGTTGAATATACAATTTGATGACTTCTTAAATTTTCTTACTTTATGTTCTTTGGTGTTTTGCCTGCATGAATGTCTTTGTGAGGGTGTCGGAGCCTCTGGAACATGAGTTACAGACAGTTGTGAGCTGCTATGTGGGTGCTGGGAATTGAACCCAGTATTCTTAACCACTGAGTCATCTTTTCAGCTTCAGTTTGATGATGTTTAACAAATGCGGGTACTATGATTAACACTACAATCGTATGGAGAGGAATTCCGCTGCTTCTCAGAGTTCCCCTTCCTTAGATGCAACCCTTGTTCTAACTTCTATCACTGCAGTTTAGTTTCACCTCTTGTAGATGGTGTTTTAAAATACAGGGCCAGGTAAGGTCACTCAAGATGTAAACGTAGATGGAGAAAAGGCCAAAGGCAAGCTTTGGAGAATTCCGGTAACCTGGGGAATGCACAGTGGAGCTGAGGATTGATGGCCTGTGGGAGAATAAATGGTACATCAAGTAGAGTTTTAGGAAGCCACTGAGAGCAGTGTTTAAGAGGGAGGGAGTAACAGCCATGTCAAAGGCTGCAGGGGTCTGAGGACTGATTAAAACTAAGCTAGAGTCAGGAAAAGGATGGTTTTTGTTTGTTTTTGTTTCGTTTTGTAACCTTCATGAAAGTTAATTTGGTGGAGTGGTGGGGGTACAATGTGTGCATGGGATGTTTTTGAGTGACTGGGATTGATTGGTGAGAAGGACAAGCCTATAGGCAGTGGTTTTGAGCAAGAGAAATGGTCCAGAACAAGGAGAAAGGGCTTGGATGTTTTTGTTTAATGAGCAGTGCTATGTGTACTGCTGCCAGGAGTAAGTGAAAGTCGAAAAAAAGAGTTAAGGAGTGGTGTCTCTGGATTGGCATAAGGGCCAGGATCTTTGTGGACAAGGGAGGAACTGGGCAGAGAGAGAAGTTCTTCCGTGATACTAGGAGCAGGCAGGAAGATGTGCAGGTGAGAGCAACAAACTTCTTGATAATTTCCATTTTCCCATGACACAGAGAGCTAAAAAAAAGAGGCGTTGTCAGCCTGAAGTGAAAATCGGTTTGAATGGAAAGAGCTAGTACATTGTCACCTCACACATAACCCTCCTGAAAATACATTAAATTTACACATGCCTCTTCTGCCTGTTTCTCTGTGGGGCCAGTAGAAACCTCTCTTATAAGCTCAAGAGGACAGCACACAACACGTTAATAAGGGACCTTTCTCAAGTGTGGCTGTATATCTGTTAGAGATTACATGTAGCAAGTTAATTGTGACATTGAAAATACCACTTTAATCCTCTTGTAGTAAGTTCTTCAGATTTGTATTTGATTGTGTCTTAGTCACTGTTGTATTGCTATGAAGAGACACCTTGACTAAGGCAACTCTCAAAGAAGGAAGCATTTACTGGGCCTTGTTTACCATTTCAGAGGATTAGTCCATGATCATCCTGGCAGGAAGCTGTCAGGCTTGGTACTAGAGCAGTAGCTGAGAGTGAGAACTTTACTCTACAGCCTGAAGGAGACAGCAGGCAGTGTGTGTGTGTGTGTGTGTGTGTGTGTGTGTGTGTGTGTGTGTGTGTGAGAGAGAGAGAGAGAGAGAGAGAGAGAGAGAGAGAGAGAGAGAGAGGTGGGCCACTGATGAATGATGATGAATGACAGACAGACACTGGGAATGATGTGGGCTTTCCAAGCAATCTTCAGCGCCCACTAGTGACACAACCTTCAACAAGTCCACATTGCCTAATTATTCGCAAACAGTCTCACTAATTGGGAAACAAGCATGAGTTTATGGGGGACATTCTAATTTAGACTACCACAGATAGGTGAAATGTGTTTGTATGCACAGACTCTAAATGTAGCTATCATTTATTTTAAAAGAGTTTAATCTCTTAGCCCTGACCCCAATCCCATTTCCTCTTTACATGGTTTAGTTATCTGTGGTCAACCATGGTCTGACAATTTTTTGTTTTTTGGGTTTTGGAGACAGGGTCTTTCTGTGTAGCCTTAGCTGTCCTGGACTCACTTTGTGGATCAGGCTGGCCCCGAACTCACAGAGATCTGCCTGCCTCTGCTTCCCAGAGTGCTGAGATTGCAGGCATGTGCCACTGAACCTGGGTGGTCTGACAGTTTTAAGTGGGTAAAATTTAGGAATAAATAGTTTGTCAATTTAAATAACCTAATACGGGGTGTTAACGAGTTTTAAAAATTATGAATAAGTTTTTATAAATTAAAGTTTATCATCAGTGTGTATGTGAAGGGAAACAGGATGGCCATGTATCACTTAACCATTTGAGAAATACCCACAGAATTATGTCTTGCAGTTTTGTTGTTGAGTATAACCATAGGGAGCTCTGGCACAGCTAAGGTGGTTATGAGGCCACCAGCTTGTGCAGTTTTATGGAAGCAGCACCATACATGTCTTTGGCTGGAAGTGGCACTGTGAGTGCATTTGCAGGGATTGGTATTCTCTGAGGCCTTGGAACCTGTCCCCTGTGGAGGGGCTACCTTGTCATCTGACTCATTTCACTAACTCTGTAGATTGATTTGATGAATTTACCTCTCCTGCCTGTTGATAAGCTTATGTAGTTGTAAAAAGGTGTAAAGTAACTGTGGGAGAATTCTATTGATTTCTCTTGATTTAATTTGACATTATTGAAAAGTTGAAAGGGGTTGAACCTGTTGATTTCAGGTTTTAAAATCTAAGATGGACTTACATAAAAGTTTAAGTGTAGATACTTTCTAATATTTATGAAATGAAAAAGTATGATGGCCCTCATATAATTGCCATCCGGTTACCACCTTGATGGATGTTCAGGTGAATTTAAAGAGCTTAAATGATCTTCATGAAGATGTGGAACTGTCTTGATTCAGTGATGAATAAAAGCTGAAGATTTTGATTTGATATAATTGAGTTTGAATACCTTCAATCATTATTTACTAACTCATACAGCAAGCTTTATTAAGTGTGTGATGTGTTCATTGGTGTCTCCACTGGTGTAGATCCCAGCCCTTTGGTTCAGCTGCATGATTTAGGCCTAACTAGAATATTCAAAGCTAGTTTTCATGTTGACAAAATTGGCAGTACTAAAACTCGCTTCACAGGCTTGTTACAAAGATTTAAAAAGCTGTGTTGGCATGCACAGTAGATGCTAATTCTTTGTTTCTCTTTTTCCTCATCTTTGTTTTTATCCTCAAGATATTGTTCTGGGTGCCATTGAAAACTGTGAAAGGACCTTACCTTACAGTTCTAGAAATCATGCAGTAGTAGGGCCACAAGAGAAATCTCTGAGATTTTCGAGATTGACACTCCCAGAGAGCTGGAAGGAAGTATCCAGGGTCCCACAGCAGTGGCGCCTGCTGATGCCTGGGTGCCTCAGCTGTGAGCAGTCTTCTGCCGAAGTGATCCTGCCCTTCTCTGTGATGCTCTTAGCCTGTGCCACTCACTGTGCTCTCTGTGCTCACTGCCCCTGCCATGTCCAAGCCTCTCTCGCTACCCCCCCGCTATGTACAGGTGAGGCTTTCTGCATGCATCGACCCAGCCTTTTCTCCACAGGCCCCCTTTAAGATCTAGAGGAAGACTTTAGGAAAAGTGGATAAACTGTCTTCTGCATACAGTGACAAAGATGTTGTTATCCTTTTCTGTCTCAGCCCAGGAGTTAAAGTCACTGTTTGAAAAAAAATCCCTCAAAGAGAAGCCTCCAAGTTTGGGCAAGCAGTCCATATTGTCTGTACGCCTGGAGCAGTGCCCTCTGCAGCTGAATAACCCCTTTAACGAGTACTCCAAGTTTGATGGCAAGGTAAGTTTAAACATACAGAGGCTGTGTACCTTTAAGATTGAGGGAGTTGTTGTTGGCATTATTGTTGTTGTTATTGTTATTATTGTATTTAGGTTTCAGAAGTGCCTCAGTATTGTAGAACACTACATTTATATTTAGACTTTTTTGACTGACTTTATGTATGAGTGTTGTGTCTGCATGTACACCTGCACGCTAGAAGAGGTCATCAGGTTCTAGTATAGATGGTTATGAGTCACCATGTGGTAGCTGGGAATTGAACTCAGGACCTGGAGGAACAGACAGTCACCTATCCACTGAGCCATCTCTCCAGCCCCGAACACCACATTTTCTAAGACCATAGATATAAAAAGTAAGAAAGTTGGTTTACTGTTTCTATCCTAACATTTAGGAGCATTAACACACTCTCTTATTCTTTTCTTCTCTGTACTTACCGTCCAGGACTGCTTTAATTCTCCTACATACAAATCTTGTAATCATATGTGTTAAGCTGAGTGTGACAGTATACACCTGTAATTTTAACACTCAGTACGGCAAAGCAGAAGGATGATGACTTTGAGGCTGGCCCGAGCTACATTACAAGAACTTGTCTCCAAAGCCAAACAAAAAGTACCTTCTCTGTTTCTCATATATGTATAATCTATGCACACATGTATGAGTCTGTATGGATAGATGCAAAGGGAGGGCTGGATGTTTTTGTTTATTTACCTGTTTCAACTTTGAGTACTTGGGCATTTGTGCTGGGTCGACTGATGAGGAGTGTGTTGGGGGCTTTGGGTATGGCTCTGGAGGTGATTTGTATTGTGCTGTCTGCAATTACAGAAATAGTGAGGTCTTGCCTTCAGAATTCTACACCATTCCATTTTGGTCTTTCACTCTCGAGGAATCTTGTGGGATACTTCCAGGGAGGGTGGCTTTTATTTTTTCCTTTCTGTTTGTAGTAACAGTTTGCTGTTATAAAATGAACGTATGTTTATTTTCCTTTTAGAAAAATGGCCACTGTTTCAGGAGGAGCCTGATTCTGCTCTGAGCCTCAGTTCTGAGCTGAGCAGGACCCTTTTTAGGAGAGAGTTGATTTTTTTAATTTATTGCCATTGAGTTTGCTGCCTGGCAGTGGTGTGGGATGCTGAGTGATAGCTTGCTGCCTGGAGGGGTCGCATGCGATTTATCTTACTTCAATACCATTGCAATTAATAAATGGCAGTGCTTTGCTCATGTTTGCATTTCTCTTCCTCACTTGCTGATTCTATCAGTTATTATCTTTGAGCAAAGAGATCTTTTTCTCTGGAAACCTCTTATCTTGTTTTATAGGTAGAAGTCATCGCATGGCCATGTGCACAGTAAGACTGTTGCTGTCTGTGAGGGTGGAGAATAGGAACCAGAAACAAAGCACATAAGTAACATATAGGCCCTCAGGTTCCCAAGATCCTCCAGAAAACAGCCAAATGCATATTTAGTCACTTTCAGGTTGCATTGCTCTAAACTTCTATTTAGTTGACTCATGCTACCCAAGGATGTAGAATGTAGGGAAAAGAAGGAGGGTTCCTCAGGATCCTAGAGAGTGTCCAGCTTCACTGCAGAGGACTCATTTAGATTGGTGAGAAGCTAGTCTGAGTTGGGACATGGCTGGAATTTATTTGCTCCCATAGCTGATAGAGTCTCATTGTTTGATGATAAAGAATAGGTAGAATAATTAATGTGTGATTCCATGCCAATAACCAGTTTAGACTTTAAAAAATAATGTATTCCATTAGCTTGGATTTGGATTTGTCAGAGAGTTGTGAGCACTGCTTGATACAGGCAGCTAACTTCTGAAAGCCAGGGAGACATCATTTCTTCAGTCACACCAGAATTTTTTGTTAGGTGTGTGTTTACATTTAAGTTGCCCTATACTTGTCATCATGGGCCTTTTGGCAATCTGTAGAGAGTAAGCATTGATTAAGAAAGATTTATGTATGGATAAGTCTGTCTTACAGTTTCTGCTATTTTATTATTACCCCATATATTACAATACTAAAATACAATTAAACCCTTGTTCTCATCTATTATTTAATATTGATGCATTTGGCAGATACGTAATGAAAGTGGCTAATATTTGAAGGATATTGGACTGTACATATTAAATCAGTCTTTATCTTTGTGAAAGGCATCAATATGATAGTCAATGGCATCTCAATGATTAATAGAGAATTATACTTGAGTCAAGCCTTTTTGTAACCTAGAAATTAAAATGACTATTCAAATAACACCTCAAAATGATCAAATTAGCATTTCGTGATTGCATAATAATGGGATTGTAGTAGTGCTAACAGCACCATGGCTGCCTCCAGAGTTGAGATCATGTCAACCCCTGGATAATAAAGCCTTTCTGTGCAAGTCGACTTTAATCATTTCCAGATTGATTCTTCCCATAAATCATCTGACGTTCAGTAGTAAATTTTTGTTACTGTTGTAACTTAAAATTATTTTTATTCATCTTATATTTAAGAAATGAAATGCGTATTCTGTCTTAATGATTCATCATCTTGTTATTGGGACTACACGTTTTTGCCTCAAATGGAAGGGTTTTCCATATGCTAAATACCTGCATATGAATAAATGTCTTATATAATTACATGTATGTAAATATACATGTATTTGCAAATAACTTTTAAAGCCACTAAAAATATGCTGTGAGGGTTTTTGTGTTTTTGTTTTGTTTTTTACAAATATTCATGATGCTTTCCTTGGGAACAGTGCCTGCCTTATTTACATAATTAACTGAGTGGTTTAGGTCTCCTGGGCAAATGGTAACATAATCGGGGAGAGAAGGGACAGAAAGAGTTTGGGGTCTAATTAAATATGCTAAAAAACTACTTAATTATGTATTTCCTCAAGAGACTGGTGGCTGTGCTGTCCTCAAGATGCTGCTGTGTTGGCTTTGAAGAAAGTATTTGTTTTGGGTATGGAGCTAGAATCACATGGTAGTTAAGCAAGCATACCTAGTGTTTAACAGTTTTGCAGACTTAGGTTCTTGGTTTTAGTGAATCTAAGGGTAAGCATCTTATAGCATTTTTCCTAAATTAAACATTTTCAAATAACTTTTGGTTCCTGTAGTTGGCTAATAATTTATTGAAAACATTTTTTGGGTTAGTATATTTTTAGAGCATGGAATTGGGAGGTCTGTACTTAGTTACAGTTTTAACAGTTTGGAGGGAGGACCATGCCAGGCTTGTAATGTTTATATTATGTGTTTGGCAAATAGATGATGCTGTCTGTGGCTTGGTTTGGATCCATAGATTAAGTCTGTTTACCAAGCATTTGAGAAAACATTCAAGGCAGACTGCAAGGAACTGTAGGTGAAGCTTGGTCTGATGAGTCGAAATCCAGCTCAGCGTCTGTGAATTCTTTTTTGTATGTTCATGGATAGACTGTGGGCATCATGTGTCCTAGAGAGTCACTTTGCCACAGAGCTGTGTTACAGCCCTGGCCACTGTTCCAGACAACCTCTGAGAAACCTCTTTCATAAAACATAACCTCTGCAGTAGGTTGGGATTAGAAACTTTGTGTTCCAGTTTCAATCTGTGTGAGGGTGTGCTTGGAGATGCTTGAAGGTGATGAGGTTCGCTCCTGGGAGAGGGGCTGGGTTAAGTGTCCTGGAGATGCGGTGTCATGCCCACTACCACCTTAGAGGTTGAACCTAAGGTCTCTTATGCTGAGCAAATATTCAACCACAGGCCTGCATCCCTATCCTTAGGGAAGTGGATCTAAGCCAGGCGTGGCTGCACACTCCTTTAATCTCAGCACTCAGGAGACAGAGGCAGGCAGATACTTACCCTGGCAGTTGTGAGTACTGTTCCAGTGCTTCTTTAGACATAGGAAGAGCAAGACATTGATTTGTTTGCATGTGTGTGTGTGTCTGTCTATATATGTATCTATCTATCTTTACGTATTCATTTACTCATTTATTTGGAAGGTAGTGTCTACTAAACGTCAGTTGGAAAGATAGTTGGGCATTAGTAATTGCTTGGCACTTGTAATAAACATTAGCTCTCATACCTACTGTGACATAGCTAAATACTATTACCTAAATGTGTGGGGGTGTTATTTGCCTTGACAAAGGCTTGAAAAAGCAAAAGAGGACTGGTTCCCACCAACAGCTGTGACTTTGATTGTGTTAACTTGTTAGAAAGTAGCCACGTCTAGGGTAGAAACTGTTTTAACAGGAAACTGCAGGGTGTGGGGGAGGGGATAATTCACGAGTGCTAATTGCTTGGCTGTTAATTTTCATAAGTGTTGATAGAAGCAGTTCCTTAAATTAAACTTTGTTTAAAATGTATCAGGGGAAATATTCCACAATGTCGAGCCTGAAGTGAAAATTAATATGAATGCCGTGGCAATTAACACATACTGGTTAATAGCTTTTAGCAGCATTTTGGGATGATAATCCTTAAATACATTTTTGCATGCTGCTCTTGTTTCAGCATTGTTCTAGTCCGATGTCTGGATAATTATGAACAAATGTTTCCTATAATCATTGGCATTAAATAGCTGTCTTCAAAGAAAGTCACTTGAAACTTTTATAGAAAATAGTGATGTCACAAAGAAATGTTATACACTTAGAAAAGGTCAGTGAATTGAAATCATGTTTTAAACAAACAGCTGGGCTGGACAGGTGGCTTAATGGTTAGTGATTAAGAGCACTGGCTGTTCTTGCAGAAGACCTGAGGACCCAGATTCTTAGTACCCATATGGCAGCTTACCACTGTCTGTAACTGCAGTTTCAGGGGTACACAGCTATACATGCACGCAAAACACTCATCTACATAAAATTAAAATAAATTTTAAAAACAAAAACAGCTAGGTTGCACCTCCCATGGGGGCGGGGGTTAAGGAGCTAGCCATAGAGTTCATACCAGAGACAGTCCCTGTTCTGCTTACTAGGAAAGCCACTTGGATACTGAGCTGCCATGGGCTACGTCCGAGCGGGGGTTCTAGGTTATATCCATGCATGGTCCCTGGTT